TTCCGATCGCCAGGGCGGGGCGTCGCAGAGCATGGCTGGATGCGCTGTAACCCCACCTCCACCCCAGGGAAGGAGCCCCCCCCTGATAACTTTGTTTGGGGTGGGGGGGCATTCCCCCCCCCCCCGGCTCTGTTCTCTGGAGAGCCTAAGACCTACGGCTGTGCCACTTGGGGGGGGGGATCTTGGAGGAAAGGATTTAGATCTGCTGGGGAGATCTAAATCCTCCCCCAGCAGGATTGGGGGCCCTTTCCTCCAGGAACAACCCCCCCTTTTAAAACTGTTTTCCTGGTTACTTTTTGTAAGGCTCCCCCTAGGGGGAAAAAGCAGAGGGGGGGTCAGCTCCCTGGCTCCTGAGAGAACAGATGGCAAGCACAGAGAAATGGCCAAAGAGATAGTGGGGGGAAGTGCAGCATCCAAGGGATGAGCCTCCACAGTTTCTCTCTCTCCCTCTCTCACACACACACACAGACACACACAGGGCAAGGGCTGGAACCTCCAATGTGGGGGTGGGGGGGCTCCAGTGCTTCCCTTAGTGGCTAGTTCTGGTAAATATGCCTCGAAATACAAAAAAAAACTATTATTTCTGTATATTTTATTTCATATTTTCCAGAAGCAGATCAATGAATCCACGGATGATAGATAGGGGCTTTTCCTACTGTACTACGTAAGTCAATTATTCCACCACGTGTTGCCCCCTTTTAAAAAACTTCAGATGCCAAGAATTCCCCAGGCAGAATTCCGGGAGTTCCAGCCCACAAATGTATACTACAGACACCTTCATTTCAATCCCCGGGAGGAAGCCTAAATCTTCATTCCCTGCTGCAATCAAGCCGCCCAATGCTTCCCGGGGTGGGTGGTCGTCTTGATTGCTCTTTATCCTGTATCGAAGAGGGCTTTCTCAGTGGCTGCCGGGCTTTGGAACGTCCTGCCCCCAAAAAACCAGGTTGGCTCCCTCCCTCTTGTCCTTCGGTCAGCAGGCTTCTAAGCAGTAAAAAGCTTAAGGTCAGGAATAGAGAATTCCTGAGCCTAAGGAATTTAAGCTCAGGTGGCCAGAATCCCCAGTTCCTGCTTCCCCGAACGGACATGTCCACTGGTGGGTTGCCACATGCAGCCTGCAGGGCCAACATCATGCTCATCTGTCTTTCAGGATCTGGGTGGCGTCAGGGCTTCCCCTGCACCTCTGCCCTGGCAGCTGTAGGATCAGGACCAGCTTGGTCGCAGGAAGAACCCAGTGTTTGCAGGATCAAGCCCTGCTGGGGCTCTTATGAGGTCTACCTGGGAGTCCTGAGGGAAGGACTCTTCCCTCCCAGAAGCTACCTCAGCAATAGAGGTACAGTGGTTCCTCGCTTGATGAGGAGAATCCGTTCCAGCAAAATCGCTGTAGAACAAAATAATCGTCAAGCAAAAGTAAAAAACCTATTGAAGTGCATTGAAAACCGGTTCAATGCGTTCCAATGGGTGAAATACCTCAGCGTCCAGCGAAGATCCTCCATAGGGTGGCCATTTTCTGCTCCCTGGATAGCGAGGAATCCATCCTAAAACATAGTGGGGAGCCATTTTGAAAGCCTGACAATCAGCTGTTTTGATCGCCGTTAAGTGAAAAATCGGTTCCCGAAGTAGGGAACTGATCATCGTGAAGCGATTTTTGCATACTAATACATCGTTAAGTGATTTCCTCATCTAACAAGGTAATCGTCAAGCGGGACACCACTGTATTTGGTTGTGCTGGTCTTAGTCCTGTGCCGCTGTTCCTGCTGTGAACTCCATTATTCCTGACCCTGCATTCCTGCTCTGGCTCCGTGCTCCCACTCCTGCAGCCTGGTTGCAGTCCAGGTGCTCCGGTTTCCATTCCTGTGCCCCCATCCTGGCTTGTTGGTCCGTGGTGTGATTTGGGCTTGGTCCTCTGTGCTGCTGGCTTGGTGCTGGTGCCCTTGCTGTTGAAGGCCACCGTGCACAACCTGGACCTTGACATTGTCGTGCCAATCTCCAACAAAGCCCAGCTGGTGCTTCAACCGTGTTCTTGTGCTTCTGGCCACTCCCCCCGGGGGGGCAGGATGATGAGCCTTCCCGCTCAGCGGCAGAGTGGCTGAAAGAGCAGGAAGGCGGAGAAGTGACAGCTTGGCTTCATTAGAGATTGGTGCAACGAGCCGCATGCTGGCCCTGCGCGCTGTGCGACAACCTGTAAGTGGACGGGTCAGTTTGGGGAGACGGGACTGAGGATCATGGCCACTTAGGTCTGGGATAAAGGTAAAGGTTCCCCTTGACAATTTTGTCGTGTTCGACTCTAGGGGTGCTGCTCATCCCCGTTTCCAAGCCATAGAGCCAGCGTTTTGTCCGAAGACAATCTTCCGTGGTCACATGGCCAGTGCGACTTAGACACGGAACGCTGTTACCTTTCCACCGAGGTGGTCCCTATTTATCTACTTGCATTTGCATGCTTTCGAACCGCTAGGTTGGTGGGAGCTGGGACAAAGTGACGGGCGCTCACTCCGTGGCGTGGATTCGATCTTACGACTGCTGGTCTTCTGACCCTGCAGCACAGGCTTCTGCGGTTTAGCCCACAGCGCCACCACATCCCAAATATACACCACGTATACAAATATCCCATCTCTGTTCAGGAATGCTGGTTTTTAAATTACAGGTTTTTGAATTGTTTTTTAAGCTTGACTTTAATATTCACGAGGGACGTGGTGGCGCTGCGGTTTGAAAACACAGAAGCCTCTGTGCTGCAAGGTCGGAAGACCTGCAGTTGTAAGATCGAATCCATACAACGGAGTGAGCCCCTGTCGCTTGTCCCAGCTCCCGCCAACCTAGCGGTTCGAAAGCATGGAAAAATGCAAAAAAATGCGAGTAGATAAATAGGTACCACCTCAGTGAGAAGGCCTAGTCACACTAGCCACGTGATCACGGAGGATTGTCTGAGGACAAACGCTGGCTCTATGGGATGGAAACGGAGATAAGCCCCACCCCCTAAAGTCAGACACAACTGGACAATTTGTCAAGGGGAACCTTTACCTTTTACCTTAATACTCATATTTGTATAATTGTTTTTTAAATATTATTTTATGTAGTTTTTTGTTAACTCTGTTGTTTTATGTGTTTTAAGCTGCCTTCAGTCCCCTATGGGGAGAAAGGTGGAATATGAATATTTAAAATAAATAGAAGGCTCCTCCTGATGAACCACCAGTCTCGGGCACTGCTGGGGCAGCTACTTCCCAGAAAATATTGCAACAGGACATAAAGGCTTCCAAAAATTAAGGTTTTTGCAGGTATGTGTTTGTGAGCTAAAACTCCTAGAATTCTCCCTAGGGAATTCTTGGGAGTCTAGGATTTGCAGTCCAATTCCTCCCTTCCTCCCAAAATTTCATGCCCCATGACCTTTGGTTGGATGACTTGAAAAAGGAGGTCGATCAATCTCAATGAGAGGAGATAATGTATGCTAACCAGATGGCTGGTATCTGGCTGAAGAGCCAGAGGTTGGGAATGCTAACCAGATGGCTGGTATCTGGCGGAAGAGCCAGAGGTTGGGAGCCACTGTGCCTCCTTAACGGAATGGACTTGATGATCCCATAGGGTCCCTCTTACCTCTGTAGTTCTAAGATTATAGGATAGCACAGTGGTTTAGGTTTCTGAAAAAACCTCTGAAAAGTTAGGGGACGTTGGAATTGTTGCAGATCGCAAGCTAAATATGAGCCAACAGTGGCTTTTTATTAATCCAGGTTCTCCTAGCTCTTCCTTCCCTTTCTCCCTTCATGGGTTCACCATTTTCAATACATTCATGGACTTGCAATGTCTTTAAATTAAGTACAGTGGAAGAAATTTGCAAGTAAACCATGGAACTTTTCCAAATAAAACCTCAATTCTAATCAACTCCTATCCTTGTATTTCTGAGTAAGATGGCTGGATAGTTCAGTGGTTTAAATATCTGGTTGCAGAACCAGAGGTTCCCCACAGTGTCTCCCATGGATAAGGTCAGCGTGTGTGGTCTTTGGGAAACTGGACGGTCCCAGAAGCAGGGAATGGGAAACGACTTTTGAGTATAATCGACCAGGAACCCCCCCCCCAAAAAAAGGGTTGCCATAGGTCAGAGTTGATTTGATGGTCCATGATTACTATTACATTGAATATTGGTTAATATTAATTAACTGTACAGTCGTGCCCCGCTTAACGATTACCCCGTATAACGACGACTCTGCTTCACGACAATGTTTTTGCGATCGCAAAACGATGTTTTAATGGTGTTTTTTCGCTTTGCGACGATCGGTTCCCTGCTTTGGGAACTGATTCTTTGAATTACGATGATCAAAACAGCTGATCGTCGGGTTTTCAAAATGGCCACCGTCTGCTCAAAATGGCCCCCCGCTGTTTTCTAGGATGGATTCCTTGCTTTACAGGCACCGAAAATAGCCGCCGTATGGAGGATCTTCACTGGACGAGCAGGTATTCAGCCCATTGGAACGCATTGAACGCTTTTCAGTGCATTTCAACGGGCTTTTTTATTTTGCTTGACGATGTTTTTGCTCGACAGCGATTTCGCTGGAACTAATTAACGTCAAGTGAGGCACCACTGTATTTTCCCATCACTGTCCCTTTGGGAAGTATGAATTCAGGCAAGTGGAGTCCATGCTGTTTTCACAATACGGCTAATTTTTCAAATGTTTCCTGTAAAGCATTCAGGAGACATATGCCTTTCAGAGGAGTCAAATTCAAAGCATACTCTTTGGTTTGACCTCCTATTAGATTACGCTCTGTGCCGCATTCTTAAGACATCTTTTTTTCTCTCCATCAGGTAACAAACACGATGGCTGGAATTATATAGAGCCGCTTCTTCTTGGCCCTGAAAAGAGTCCGGGAAGAAAAAATTGGAAAAACCCCTCGGCTAAAGGGGAAACGCCTTAAATGCCTGAAGTGTGGAGACAACTTCAGGGCAGTGCTGCTAGTTCAGGTCAAAGAACTCCCCCTGGGGAGAAATTGTACAAAAACATGGGAGATGAAGAGAGTTTCAACGGGAGAAGAAATCTACGTTCACATCGAAGAACTCGCCCTTTGGAGAAACCATATAAATGCGTGGAATGTGGATTACACTTTAGCTTTAAAAGTCTCTTTACTTCACATCAAAGAACTCACACAGGAGAGAAACCCTATAAATGCTTAGAATGTGGAAAGAATTTCAGTCACAGCCATAGCCTCAGTACCCATCAAAGAATCCATACGGGGGAGAAACCGTATAAATGCATGGAATGTGGGAAAAGCTTCAGCCAGAAGGCGATCCTGAATTCACACCAAAGGACTCACACAGGAGAGAAACCATATAAATGCACAGAATGTGGATTTACATTCTCTCAGAGGAGCAGCCTGAATTCACACCAACTAACTCACACAGGGGAGAAACCGTATAGGTGCATGGAATGTGGAAAGGACTTCAGTCACAACCATAGCCTTAGTTCTCATAAAAGAACTCACACTGGGGAGAAACCATATAAATGCATGGAATGTGGAAAGAGCTTCAGCCAAAGCAGTAGCCTTAGTAACCATGAAAGAACGCACACTGGGGAGAAACCATATAAATGCATGGAATGTGGGAAGAGTTTCAGTCTAAGCAATAGCCTTCGTTTACACCAGAGAACTCACACGGGGGAGAAACCATATAAATGCAAGGAATGTGGGAAGAGCTTCAGCCGCAGCTTTAACCTGAATTCACACCAAAGAATCCACACTGGGGAGAAACCATATAAATGCATGGAATGTGGGAAGAACTTCAGTCAGAGCACTAACCTCAGATCACATCATAGAACTCACAAAGGAGAGAGGCCATTTAAATGCATGGAATGTGGGTAAAGCTTCAGCCACAGCCAAAGCCTTTGTTCCCATCAGAGAACTCACACCGGGGAGACAGCCAAAGCCTTCGTTCCCATCAGAGAACTCACACCGGGGAGAAACCATATAAATGCATGGAATGTGGCACGTGCTTCGCACACAGCCGTAGCCTTAGTTCCCATGAAAGAACTCACACAGGGGAGAAACCATATACATGCATGGAATGTGGCAAGAGCTTCAGCCAAAGCAGTACCCTTAGTAACCATGAAAGAACGCACACTGGGGAGAAACCATATACATGCCTTGAATGCGGAAAGAGCTTCAAACAAAGCGGTAACCTCAGTGACCATCAAAGAACTCACACAGGGGAGAAACCATATGAATGCACAGAATGTGGGTTGAGTTTCAGGTTTAGCAGCAGCTTAACTTCGCATAAAAAAGCTCACACAGGGGAGAAACCATATACATGCATGGAATGTGGGAAGAGCTTCAGGCAGGTTGCTCACCTTAGTTCACATCAAAGAAGTCACATAGGGGGGAAACCATATAAATGCATGGAATGTGGAAGGAGCTTCAGGGAAGGCAGAGCCCTTAGTTCACATCATAGAGGTCACACTGCTGAAAAACTTAAATATTAAAGGGGTAACTGGTTTTTTTTCCAGTTTATAAAATACAGTGGTGCCTCGCTTAGCGAGCGCTCTGTTTAGCGATGAAATCATTTTGTGACGAAGATTTTGTGATCGCTTTGCGATGTTCCCTATTGGGTATTTTCGGTTTGCGATGACCGATCATCGCAAAGTGACCATTTTCACACAGCTGATCGGCGGTTCCAAAATGGCCACCGGGGAAAAAACATGGCCACCCGCTGTTTTCTAGGACGGATTCCTCGCTTAAGAGGCACCAGAAATGGCCGCGCTACGGAGGCTCTTCGCTTGACGTTGAGTTTTAAGCCCATAGGAACGCATTAATCGCATTTTAATGCGTTTCTATGGGCTTTTTTATTTCGCATTGCGACGTTTTCGTGCAACAGCGATTTTTGCGGAATGGATTAACGTCGCAGTGCGAGGCACCACTGTAATTGTGTGCTGCCAAGCCTATGCTGGCTTATGACAACCCTTTCCAAGGTCCTCCGGGTGGAGAGTAACTCGGAGGTGTTTTCCCCTTCCTTTCTTCCTGGCGGTTCTTGAGACTGTGCAGCCTCCTCAGTGCTCCATGAGGGAGCAGGCTGGGTAGGGGGGGCAAGGCAGCCCATCTAGGAGAAGGAAAACTCCAATTTCAAACCTCCACTGCCTTGTGGCTATATCCATTGATGGAAAAGGCTTCAGGAGTCAACCTCAAGGCAAAATCCGGAGCAGGAGGAAGTTCTTGTCATTCTGACAACAACTGCGACGTCGCTGGAACCAGTTGTATTGACTCTTGCCTTTCCATTGGACTATTTCAGCAACGTGGAGAGGGGGGATTTGCTGCTTGGGTAACACCCTATCCTCCATATTATTTTACCCAGGCTTCGTGCCCTGGAGGGGACACTCCAGCTTCACATACAGCATTGAAACACTAGACGCTGTTCCAAGTCCTCCATACAGAGCACGTTACCATAGTCTCTCAAGACTGAAGGATGCCTATGGAGCAGGGGTTCGATTCTTTCCTGTGCCTCCTTGACAAAAGATGGACTTGATGATCCATACAGCCCCTCCCACCTCTGCAGTTCTAAGATGATGATTAAGTCCATCTGTGTTGTTATATAGTGTGTTTCTCAATGCCACCTGGATGGGGGACAAACAGGATAAGGATGAACCTGGAAATGGAATCCTGAAGCTACTGTAGTAGTATTAAGTGACTGTTGTCACTTAGAAAAACTCGTCATTGGCTACAGATCTGCACAGGCTGTCACTTCATGATGCAGTACTTCACACACAGCTCAAACATAATCCCAAACTGTCTTGGATATTACACTTTTACTTGTTTTTGGTGCAGAGTTAGAAGCAAGGTGTTACGTCAAGCGAGGAACCAGACTTGAGTTCCAGAATGAAGAACTGAACGAACTCACGGAACTTTCTTCCTCCGTAAAACTGTCTAATATGTTCTTGTCACTTCATGATGCAGTACTTCACACACAGCTCAAACATAATCCCAAACTGTCTTGGATATTACACTTTTACTTGTTTTTGGTGCAGAGTTAGAAGCAAGGTGTTACGTCAAGCGAGGAACCAGACTTGAGTTCCAGAATGAAGAACTGAACGAACTCACGGAACTTTCTTCCTCCGTAAAACTGTCTAATATGTTCTATTTACTTAAGATGAACCCATGGAACTTCATTCCTCCGTAAAACTGTCTAATATGTTCTATTTACTTAAATTTTAAGTATTTCCTTTGATCCTAGGGGTAGTACTGTGTACGTCGTTACGTGCCTTCAAGTTGAAACTGACTTATAGTGACCCAAGGATGGCCTGTATACGTTGTTACACTGTTATGTGCCTTCAAGTCGAAACTGACTTATAGTGACCCAAGGATGGCTTTCAGAGCAAGAGAGATATTTAAGGAGCAATTTTACCACTTCTGCACCTTTCCCTATAACTGAGCGGGGATTTCAACCCAGACACGCTGAATTCCAGTCCATCGCTCTATACAGTACAAGACACTGGATATCCATGAAGGTAATATATTTAAATATGAATTAAATTATTTTAAAATATCATCCTTAATGAATTTGGTTAGGTGCCTTAAGTGCTATTGTTATAGCTGGATTGAAATGTAATAAATCAATTTGTCTTTTAAATTTAGCCCACTGATTCTAGTAACTTTGTCCACCCCAACATTACTTTTTTTTGCACTAATTAAGCACTGTCAACAACACCTGTTTCACTACTTTATAGCCCAATGATTCTAGTAACTTTGCCCAACCCAACTTCCAAGTAATAAGAAAATGTTACCTTTTTTGCACTAAATAAATACTGTCATCTTTACCTGTTTCGCTACTTTAGAACTGTGACATGATTATCGTGACCCTGCAACCAAGGAAACATAGCCCTAGTAGGATTTTTCTCATACGTCCTACCCCCAAAATTAACCCCAGTTAAGTGAAACCCCACCTTCCACCCTTGGGCAGCAACCAGATGAAGATGACATGACTGTATTTGAATAAATGTAGATTGTTGTACATGAAAAAATAAAACATCCCCTGAAAATAAGCCATAATTCCTTTTTTTTTTTTTTTTTTTTTTTTTGAGCAAAATTTAATGTAAGACCCTGTCTTGTTTTTGGGGAAACCAGAGAGAAGTATAGTTTCCAGATCCTACGAGGTGCCATTCCCCCACTCTTCAGCACTGGTTAGGCCTCACCTTGCGTATTGTGTCGAGTTCTGGACACCATGCTAACAAACTGGAACAAGTTCAGAGGCAGGTGACAAGGATGATCAGGGGGCTGGAAACCAAGCCCTAGGAGGAAAGAGTGGAAGAGCTGGGCATGTTTAGCCTTGAGAAAAGAAGACAGAGATCAGATAGCACTTTCCCAATATTTGAAAGGCTGTCCTACAGAGGAGGGGCAAGATTTGTTCTTGATCATTCAAGAGTGCAGGAGGCGCAAAAATGGGCTCAAGTTAAAGGAAGCCAGATTTCGGTTGAAGATCAGGAAAAACTTCCTAACTGTTAGAGCAGTACAACCGTGGAACCAACGACCTTAGGAGCTGGTGAGTGCTCCAACACTCAATTGTTGGGTGCTCCAACACTGGAGGCATTCAAGAAAAACTTGGATAACCATCTGTCAGATCTGCTTTGATTTGAATTCCTGCAGCTTGCCCAAGGCTACCCAGGCTGGCTTTTCTCCCTGGAAGCATGGTGGGGAATCGAACTCCCAGCTGCTAGTTCTGCAGACAGAGACCTAAACCACCGAACTATCTAGCCAGCTTTAATCATTGTATGCCATCAAGTCTGTTCTGACTTACGGTAACCCTTTTCAGGGTTTTCTAGATAAAGATTAACTCAGAAGTGAGTTACTGCTCCCTTCTTCTGGGGGCTCCCTGGCACTGTGCAGCTTTCCCAAGGCCACACAGGCTGGCTCTACTTGCAGGAGACCCAGTGGGACAGACCTGGGCAAAATGCAGCCCTCCAGATGTTGCTGAACTGCAACTCCCAGCAGTCCTAGCCCACACAGCCAATAGTGAGGAGTGTTGGGATTTGCAGTTCAGCAACATCTGGAGGGCCGCACTTTGCCCAGGTCTGCAGTGGAGGAATCGAACTCCCAACCTCTGGCTAAACCCCTGAGCTCCCCGTGATTTAAGGGTATATTTCGTTTCTTCCTAATGTGGTTTCCTTGCACAATACAGTGGTGCCTCGCTAGACGATGCTAATCCGTTCCACTGAAATCGCTGTCTAGCGAAATCGGTCTAGCGAAAAGCAAATCGTTGTCTAGCGAAAATCGGTTTGTGAAGCAGGGACCAAACATTGTCCCGCGAAATTCGCCCATAGGAATCAGTGGTTTGTGAATCGCTATAGCGATCGCACAAAGTCAATGTCTCACGAAAAAACTGTCATGCGGGGTAACTGTCTAGCGAGGCACCACTGTACATAAATAACAAATGGGGTCGGGGGGTAAGAGATAACATTCCAACAGGTTGCATGGAAACAAACTAGACCAAAACCATTCTTATTTATTTCTTTTATTTTTTTACCCAACCCATCAAGTGACCCGGTCACTCTTCTTCACGTGCCTCTGGAAAGCTGACTACAGAAGATGACACAGCTTGACAGCCTCTTGAAAAGGAGCAATTTGCATGTCTCACCGGATTGGTCAGTATTGTTCTGGATCGGAACTCATCATGAAACAAGAGGGCGCTAGACAAACAATGGGCTTGCTTCCATTAGACTTTTTTCTAGCCAATGAGAAAAGAGGATTTCATTCTTTTATGTCACACTGTGTGTGTTCCAAGCAGGAGCTGGTTCAATCCACAGGGAGAGAAGGGTAAGTGTTGCCTCTTGAGGATCCAACCACTGATGGGTTTCGATGCCCTTTGCCTCAGAACTTGGGGTGACGAAATTTAGAATTACAGTCAACCCTCGATTTACGAATTTAATCCGTTCCGGAAGTCAGTTCGTAAATTGGAAAGTTCGTCAATCGAGCCAGCATTTCCCATAGGAATGCATTGGAAACCAATTTATGCTGTTCCCATGGAAAAGCAAGCCGGGTAGCCAGGGAGAAATGGGCTCCCTCCTTTCACCCGATGCTGAGTCCCCTTCGCACTGGCTGAGCTCAGCCCGGCACGAAGGGGAGTCAGCATCGGGTGAAAGGAGGGAGCCCATTTCTCCCCAGCTGCCCGGCTTGCTTCCCAAGCCAAAAAGGCAGGTAGAAAGGGCGGGAAGTTTGAACTTCCCACCCTTTCTCCCTGCCTTTTGGGTTCGTAACTCAATCTGCGTTCACAAGTAGGGTCTGCTACTTGCGATGACGTCGGGTTCGCAACCCGAAACGTTCGCAACTAGGGCCGTTTGTAAGTCGAGGGCCCACTGTACTCTACGTTGCTCTCAACATATAGATCTTCCCATACTTCTGCTCCAAACAACAACAGACTTGCGGAGACAATAGAGAGCCAAAGCAATTAGATTGGAGCTATGGGAAAGGTTAACTCAATTGGAAGGAAGGAAGGAATCAATCAACCAATCAATCGGATCCAATATAGTGTTTCGGAATCGAACACCAGTGGAACATAAGAGTTTCTTCTTCTCCCACCATAGAGTTATGGTTCCAAAAACCTGTCTTGTCTGATTTCTTGGTTCTCAAGAGCAGGTTTTTAGAGTACACAGATGAGGCTGTAAGAGAGGGGGGAGATCGCCAGTTAGTGGAGAAGCAGTAGGATTCTAGCCAAGGGGGTGGGGGAAGAAAAGAGAAGCAAGGGAAGGAAGAAATAGGAAAGAAAAGCATTTCTCTTATTCTCCCAACTGAAACATGCTTTCTTCTTTTATCTGATTATTTTTCAGCCATTGTGTTAGCAATCACAAAGGGGTCCTAGATCAAACCAATCCTGAACTATCTCTGGAGGGGAAAAAATTTGACGCTGTCCTATTTTGGGCACGTCCTGAGAAGGCAGGATTCTCCAGAAAAGACCATTTAGGCTGGGCAAGGTTACAGGCAGCAGGAAAAGAGGAAGACCCAGTAGGAGATGTGCTGACTCCCTAAAGGAAGCCACAGGCCTGACTGTACAAGAGCTGGGCCATTTTGGAGATCACTAATTCATAGGGTCGCCATGAGTCGGAGGGGACTTGACAGCGCATAACAGGGAAACTGTGTTTGCAGTTTTACTAAGTTATTGTAACCTTTATCCTTTGCTTCCTCTGCTCTTCCTAGTTACTCGGAAGTCCCTGTCTGACCCAGCCATGAAGCTTTTCTACCTCTTCGTGGTGTCACTTTGCTTTGCTCTGCTCCTTGTGAGTCCAGGTAAGATTTGAGCCACACACCTGCATGGTGCGATACACAAACATCTGTCAATTAAACAGGTTCATGAACAGGAAGTTCATGAGCTCATTCTGGATTCAGGCTAATTGGGACATTGATCTCAAATAGGACCCAAGTCCCAGATACGATAACCTTCATAGCTAAAAAAATGCTTCTAGTTACTGCTTCCAAAGTAAACCTGGGCTTTCCCAGAGGTGCGCACGGAAAGCACAACTAAGATGGGCTTTTCAGAAATCAAGTTATTCTTTCACCAAGAACTTTCCTTTGGATTTCTAAAGGAAAATGGGTTACCAAATGCATGGTTTATGCAGCAAGATTTAAATTTTCAGACTTTCAGAAGACCAGAAACCCTAATTTAAAACTTACAGCTTAAACACACACATAACACACACATAAACACACACACAAGGCTACAGTCACACTGGCAATTTGAATTGATTTCCGTTCAGATTTTTTTAAAAATCAGGTTAAAGCCCCATGGTATTTAAACCGGTGGCTGCATTCATATGCGCCGAAAGGTAAACTGTTTATGGCCATTGAAACCAGTTTTGGCATCTACACTGCTGGAACCATTGGCATCATTATATCTGTGAAGATTCTCAGTCATCCAGATGTGGTTGTCTAGAAGTTGAGTCGTGGCAACTGGACTTCCTTCTTGTTCGGTTGGCATCCTCGTTGAAAAACATGACTTGGCTCTTAATTGGAAGAAATCGAAAAGGGAGATTTCTCCGTTTCCGCTTTCTGCTGGGAGAAGCATGCATTTAACCAATACATTTTGTTATTGTTGTACACAGAGGTAAAAATACAGTAAATTGGTTTTCCTCTGGCTATGTCTTAAAAGAGGCAATAGGACATCATCCAGAGCAGCAGGTCTCAACCTTGAAGCAGTCAGACATTCATGGACTGCCGCTCCCAGAAGACTCCACCACTAGCTGTGTTGGCCAGGATTTCTGGAGGTTGCAGGCCAAGAACATCTGGAGACCGAAGGTTGTAAACCACTGAACAGAAGTGGAAGGAGCAACTGGAGGGTTTTGCTGGTGGAATGTCATCGGAGCCTTTAGACTAGAGACAAAATCAGAACTTCAAGATGACACTTTAGGTTTAATGGGTTGGCATGAAAGAGTGCTACTTTTTCTAATAGGAATGCATCTACTATTTTGAAAATGATGCTTTGAAAATGGAGGGGGAAAGATTTTAAATGTCAGTTTCAAAACTGTTTTTTGGAGATGCCTCTGCTGGCTTATCTTCTGTTCATGCAAAAGTGACTATTTTAAAGTTGCCACATTAAATTGAAAGCATTGTTTCCCCAATTTTGGGAAAACCGGAGTTATGCCAGCCTCACCTCTGCAATTTTTTTAGGTACTTAAGCAAACAGTTGGAACAGTTGTTAGTTCAGACCTCTCTTCAGTTCAGCTGTGCTGTTCAGGAGTTGAGTTTAAGACTGATCCAAGAGATGCATCTTCATACAATATGTAACAAAAAAATTACAGTTTTTCCATTTTAAGGGAGCTCTGCTTCTAATGACATGTTAACTGTTAAAATTTAGTTTGCAGCAAAGAAGAGAGTGGGAAGACAGTTTTTAAGCTCGCTTTCTTAAGTTTCCAGGAATGATATGTGGGTGGCCCTCAAGCAAAGTTGATAATAAAACCTCTTATCCCTTGTTTCCAACTTGTGCAGGAAGTGGCCAGCGTGAGCCGCGGTTCGTCAGCCACTGCCTCCGCAGAGGTGGCATCTGCCGATACGATGACTGCAGCGAGGGTGAAGAACAGATTGGAACCTGTTACCATCACACCATGATCTGCTGCCGGGATGAAGTCATGTAGTGAGGAGAGGCGGACCGACAAGCTGGCGAGATACTCACGTGAAGGATTATTCCTCGGATCTTTTATCCCCAGTCATGAATGACCCTATCTAAAAGTTACAAATCCTTCCTAATAAAACTGCATTCTTCCTGTTGTCCTTAGATGTATTATTCTTTGAACACCCGTCTCCCCTTGGGGCCCTGAGTGGCAAATGCATGTGTTGTCCTTTACCCCGAAAGAGACAAACGCAACGGCTTTCAGCAAACATGACAGCTTTCAGACTTCAACAGACTGACTGCTTCCAACGCAGTAAAAAGAGGGAAGGAGAACTTAGCAGAGAGGTGGGGCTCTCTTCGAACTCAGGGGCACGAAGGACTGATGGACTAGTGTTGGATCGATCACCCCAGCCCAGAAAGGTCCCTTCCCACCTACTAAAGGCAACATGGAAGGTTGTAAAAACTCGAACAGAGAAGGGGGTTCTAGGGCACACATCTAACCCACCAGCATCCCAATACAGTGGTGCCTCGCTAGACAATGATAATCAGTTCCATTGAAATCGCTGTTTAGCGAAATCATTGTCTAGCGAAAAGCATTTCCCCATTGGAATGCATTGAAACCTGTTTAATGCGTTCCAATGGGGAAGAATCGCCATTGTCTAGTGAAGATCGGCCATAGGAAAGCCGCTTTGCGAACCGCCAATCAGCTGTTTAAATCGCTGTCTTGTGAAGCTTAAGTCCCGAAAACACCCGTTTTGCGAGCACGGAGGGAGCTGTCAAAATCGTCGTCTAGCGAAAATCGGTTTGCGAAGCAGGGACCAAACGTTGTCCAACAAAACTCCCCCATAGGAATCACTGTTTTGCGAATCGCTATAGCGATCGCAAAAAGTCAATGTCTAGCAAAAAAACTGTCATGCGGGTTAACTCTAGCAAGGCACCACTGTATTTACTATAGAATGGGAAGTGAGTAGACATTCTATGGTGGTCCTTGGAACCCTTGGCTACAGTGGCACTAAAACCACCCTTCACGACAAGGGAAATGAAAGAGAAGGGAAATAAATAATGGCCATAATCCTGTTTCTTATACCCAGGACACTCCTCGATACAGAACACGTTACCATGGTCTCTCGAGACTGAAGGATGCCTATGCATACCCAGTGTTGTAACTCCATCCAAACAACTTTCTGCAACTCCCCACAAGTTCAGAAGTCAGCGTAGGTATTTGCTATCACACACCGGCCATGTGTTTGGCACACCACAGTCTCTACCTACCATGACTTCCAAACCTGCATTGATTCCCCTCTTAAATTTATGTCAATGGAATTATACCACACTCAGCATGTAATGGGATTCTGGCCAAGAGTTCAAGCATTCATTTTAAAAAAAAAACATTGCTAGAATCATAGAACAATGGATTCGGAAGGGGCCTGTAAAGCCATGAAGTTCAACCCTTTACTCTGTCAGGAATCCAAGTTCAATTATAATAGAATTATAGAATAACAGAGTTGGAAGGTGGCTACCTACCTACCTACCTACCTACCTACCTACCTACCTACCTACCTACCTACCTACCTACCTACCTACCTACCTACCTACCTACCTACCTATCATAGGTCGCACATACTAAATTCCTGCCTACCTCACAATGTCTGCAGCAATTTCTTGGGGCTGAAAACTGGGGACTAGTGGACTTATTTGTGTGGTGGCCCTCCCTAGGTTGATAGTCTCTTACTCGTTCCTCACCGACTTGCATGGGCTGCTCAGACATGGACCCCAATAACATCTGGAGAACTTCAGGCCCTACAGCTTTCCATCAAGAGAAGCTTCCCTCTGTTACTGACCCAGCTAGGAAAAGTGATTCCTGAAGCCCTTCACTACTCTCCCGTAACTTTACCAAGCTCTGGTTACCAATCACCACCTCCTAAGTTTGCCTTCTGACACAGAGCTTTTCGTGAGAAAAGACAGCCGTAGCTTTCAAGCTGTGATTTGTCATTTTTCCTGAATACAACGGAGGGACGAGAATTTCTCTCATGCCCCTGGCATCTGGGGCAAAGCAATCTCCAGCCACTGGAAGGATCAGCCTTCATAGCACGTTATGAATAAGTCGACTTGCTGGCATGGAATGCTAAATATTTCCCAGCCCTCCTGCACGGTTCCAAGAATCTCTTCTGGGTCACGGTGACATGGGAGGTGGGAGACAATGAGCAAGGAAAGCATAATTCACAGGCGCTTGTGCCTACACTCCCTCCGAACAGTCCTCTCAGCAGCTCATAACCAATACAGGGTATAAGCTTCCCCCTCTTGCATTGTGTTACACAGGACGGCCCGCTTGTAGCCATGATGAAGATCTTGTTGACACGGATGCTACTGCTGCTTGTTGGTTTAGATCTGTCCACTCCAGGTAAGACCAGGATAGTTTGGGATTTTGGAAATGCATGTAGACCTGTCTGAGTAGTTTTCAGGCTTCGGTGGTACCTTATGTGACTGGTATGCAGCTCAAATCAGCATGCATGGGAACAACCCGCCCTTATCTAGCATGCATGGGTTCACGCACCTTGGTCTATACGTCTCAGAACCATCAGTTTTAACTGGCAGAAATGGTTCTCCAGGGTTTCAAGTGCAGGTCCCTCCTAAGAGCCTCAAAATCCCTACCATTCTGTAGTGGTCTCCCATCCATCTACCAACCTGGCTTGATCCTGCTGAACTTCCGAAGTCATGCACAAGATACGTTTGGTGATACCACTCTGTCAAAAAAATCTGGGCCCCAACATGGTAGAAAACAGAAGACCTGTTTTTCTTGAGAAGAATATTTCTACACTTCTGGGAGTTCTATAGTTTATAATGCAAGGAACTGGCATGTCCACTAAAATCTTAGGTTGAAAAGATGGAAGTGCAGTCTCGGGATGCAGAAAATATCATGCGCTTTATTTCAGGATGAAATGCCCAATGCGTTTCGGCCTATCAGCCTTCTTCAAGGTCTATATAACATCGAAAGAATTATAATTGCAAGGCTTCAACATTATAATTTATTGGGGACAACATGAATACATTCATATAGACACGATTCTTTAAGCAGCCATGGGTGTAAAAGACCAGCCGTTCTTTTTACCCTGATCTCTCCCCAAACTCCCTAAATACAGAAGCAAATTTTTTTTAAAAAAAAAAATGCCAAGCAATGATGATGATGGCTTGATCATTTCACTCAAAGTTTTCTCACCGGGTGAGTCTTCCTACTTTTTAGTTCTTACTGGTTCCGACTCAACTGGTTTATGTCGGGAGGTGGTTCTCTTAGGGCTCTTGAAAGAGGGAGGGAGAGAACCGAGGGGTTTGGATGAATGGATGGATGATGTTTGGTAAGGAGGGTGCACCATTTGCACCGTGGTCCATGGTAAATCCGGATGTGGTTCGGTAAGGAGGGTGCACCATTGGCACCATGGTCCACGGTAAATCCATCACTGAAAAAAAACCTGGGGTACTCTCTTCCCTTGTTGATGCCTGCTTCTGCTCCAGATTAGGTAATCACTAAAAAGGGGGATTGAAAATAAAACAGACAACATTATACAGTAATGTTGAATTTTCTAACTCTTGTTAGAATCTTGTTGAATTTTCTAGCTCTGTGAGAATCCCCTTTTTATGCTTGTTTTGTATTTTGTGTTGTAAGCCGCCTAGAGTGGTCGCAATGACCAGATAGGCGGGGTATAAATGGAATAAATAAAAATAATGCCGTTGTACAAAATGCTGGTAAGGCTGCATCTGGAGTACTGTGTACAGTCCTGGTCTCCACACCTTAAAAAAAAAAAACATTGTGGAACTGGAAAAGGTGCAGAAAAAAGTGACTAAAATGATGACTGGGCCGGGGCATCTCCCTGATGAGGAAAGGCTACAGTGTTTGGGGCTCTTGAGTCTAGAGAAAAGGGCGCCTGAGGGGGAACCTGATTGAGACGTATAAATTTACGCAGATGTATAAAGTGAATGGAGGGAAGGTTTTTCCCCTTTCATGCAATACCAGAACCAGGGGACATCTACTCAAATGGAGTGTTGGGAGAGTAAGAACAGACAAAAGAAAATATTTCTTGATCCAACGTGTGGTTAGTCTGTGGAACTCTAGGTCACAGGATGGGGTGATGCCATCTGGCCTAGAGGCCTTTAAAAGGGGATGGGACAGATTCCGGGAGGAAAAGTCTATTGCAGGTGACTAGCCATGATGGGGATGTACTGGTATATAATCTCCAGGCTTCGAAGGAAGGGACCTCCAAATCCCAGATGCAGGGGAGGGGGATTGGGAGACAGGGATCTCGTGGTCTCATGGCATCTGGTGGGGCCACTGTGAGATACAGGAAGCTGGACTAGATGGGGCCCTTGGCCTGATCCAGCAGGGCTTTTTTTATGTTCTTATGGTTTCCTTCCTCTCCTACATGTGGGGAGAACTGAATCAGAAAAAGGACAACACTATTTGTGTGGGCTCTCCAGGTACGTAAGTGCAGGTCATGGGTTACAATGAGTCTGAAGTGGAGAGATTCTGTTTTCCGTGGGCGCTCTTTAAGGGACTCGGGGACGCCCCCAGAGAATCAGCGTCCCAAATCATCTGGAGGGCCCACAGAGAGAGCAGAAGCTCTCTTATTCCGACTGGTTCCTCCCCATGTGCAGGACAGCAAATTTGTAACCATGCGCCGAAGGTGGGTGGGTCAGAGGTTTAGACCACTGCCCTTTGCCTCTGGAAAGCAGGCGCCACTGAATAGGGCTTCAGATGCTCTTGGCTTTGCTGCCACCGACCGAACCCATTTGCTCTTCCACCGCACCTCCCTCCTTCTGAAAGAATGTTGTCCATTTCCCCGGCCACTGTGAACGATGTGTCCCTCTTTGCTCTCGGCAGGAGCGGTCCCTGCCCGACCAGCCAGCTGCGACCCACCACACCACACCTGCCGAGTGGGCTATTGCGCCGAGGAGGAGATTCCCGACGGCAGGTTTTGTTTCGAGCCGGTGATTCTGTGCTGCAAACGGTGGCCCCAGAAAGCCAAGCGCCCCGAGGAAACTGGGGAAGTCGCTCCCTTTGGAAAAGTCCTGGGCAGCCTCCTCTGATCGGGAAGAGGGGCTTTGGAAACGACGCTCCCCAAATAATCTCAATACTGTACGTTGAAGGTGAAAATG